ACTGGATATCATTCAAAATGAAGTACAGCTTGTTAGTACACCTTAGGGTTTGAGTCTTAGTTGGAAGAAAAAAAAAATCTGCTGCACTTTAATTAGGTTGGCATATATGCATCTGACGTCAAGATGATTTTCAAAAGTACACTCTAGTTTTACATTTAGACTTTCTGTGTGTTCTGATGTTATTAATGCAAGCAACATTGTAAGAATTATCATGCAGATTCTTGGCTCATGCATTTTCTCTAAGACAGCTTTTTTCCATTTATCCCTGTTGCTGCAAGGTTGTTTCAAACCCATTAAAAAATCTATTTAATTTCAATCCAATCCAATTAACTGGTGAGATCCAGATCCAGTTACATTCAGCAAAACTAAATCCTAGTTGTTATGCTGCACAGACTAATTGCTTGAGTGACTAACTTTGCAATAGTCATCTAATGACAAACTTAATACATTTAATTTTTTCATTTGGATTAAATGATTTACTGCAGAAACAATTACATATTTTAACATACTACTAAAACATTGCTGTTGACATAGTTTGATTAGCTTTACTGTGGTATTTTTTATAGTAGCCTGTAAAAAAGGGACACCCACTATAACCTCTCGCACTACTTACTGTTTTGTTTTCTGTACTGAACAGAAAACAAAACTTTCTATGCAAAGGCATAGCACTTTAAAATAACTGTTTTTCCTTCTTTTTTTCCAGTTGGGGTCCTCCCTTTTACCTGAGTTTAGAAAAATAATAAACCTCACTCTGAAACTGTTCATGTTCATGGGACCCAATGCAGTTCTAAAGGATTTTAAAAGCTTTCTTTCAAGTGTTGCACTGGTGGCATCTGCTGATTGTTTCCATCAAGGGCTCTTGTAAATGTATAGGGAATCTTCACTAATGTGGCATTGGCAGTTTAAATTCCATTAACTTGCTGACCATCAATCCATCCATCCATCCATCCATCCATCCATCCATCCATCCATCCATCCATCCAGTCTGTCAATGGGCAACACACACACACACACACACACACACACACACACACACACACACACACACACACACACACACACACACACACACACACACACACAAACCATTATTGTCAAAAACTTAACAGAACATAATTTAAAAACATACAAACAATTCTTTTCATCTAAATTCTTCTAAGCATAGTTTATCACAAAAGCTTATATTAAACATAGATTTTCATATTTTCCCTGTTTCTCCCTTGAGAAATTCTATAATCAAAAAATTAGAAAATCTTAGCAACATTATCTAAAATCCTTTTTGTTTGTTTTTTATTTAATCCACTTATAGCTCTCAGAGCTAACTGATGCCAGCTCATGACATACTTTGGCAAACATAAAGCAAGACTCACTCCCACACATTTACACATACACCCACACACCCTGCCGTCATCCTGAGTGTTCACTACATAGTAGGAGCAAATGGACATGTTCTAGGGCTTTGAAAGCTTCACTTCCATGTTCGCTAAACAATATAGTTGTCTGCGGATGGAACATGCCATGTATGTCTGTCAGTTTGCAAAGCTTTTGATCCCTTTTGTTGTGGCTGCTACTGTTTTAACAATAAGCCCGTCTATCCTGCTGGAGGACTGCAGGAGGCTTTCAGGCACCGACCTTTTTTTTGACAACCACATTTTGAGGGATTCAAAATGCAGTGACAATGTGCACGGAGAGCATACGTGGTCTGGGTGAATGTGTGTTTACGTGTGTGCGGTTTGTGTCCATCAGTGTGCTCGCAAAAGCTTGGGTTGGAGGGATGGAGGGTGACTGACAAGACCAAGCAAGCTCCTGAGACTCTCTCTCTGCTCCAGTGTCTGCTTGTTCGTCTTCCTCCGCCCACCCTCTCCCTTCATCTTTGGCTTTGTAAGCCTCCACATAATGTGGGAGCATTAAAATGACAATGGAAATTATGGCTAATCTTTGTTAAGACACACTCATTACCGCTGCAGCTTAGAATGAGGGTTTGATGATAAGAGTCGGTCTTCTTTTTTTTTTTTTTTTCTTTTTTTTTTTTTTTTCTTTTTTTTTTTTTTACCTTCCCTCTGAAGAGACAGTCTGACATATTGGAGTGATGTGTGTTATTCTCACTTTTTGTGTTATTTTTTTCTATTACCGCTCACAGTTAATAATGGTGGCAAATATATGAAAGGATGATAACAGGCTGACAACTTGGGCATGAAAGACTAGCTCCACCTTCAAACAAGCTTTTCATGCAGTTCCGTATGTGGGTGTATGTTAGAGGGCTGATTTCTCTCAACTCCTTCCTTCGCCGTCTCTTTCCGCTTTTAGTAATCCCCTATGGGTATTTTGTGCATCTGAATAAATATGTAAAACATTTCCGGTGCCCTTGGATTGGATAGAACAACACAAAGACAATACATTAGTAACTGCTTCTAAAGTTTTCAGTATTTCAGCCTAATTCCAACCATGTAAATTTTTTATGCTTTAGAAGAACTGAGTTTCGGCGAAATTTTGATGAAACGATCAATTCTAAATATTTTCATTTTTTCAGATGTCTCTCGATATAATCCAGTTCCCCATCTGCATTCTGAAGTTACCCAATTAGAAAACTTTTTTTTGCATAACTCCAGCTGTTCTTTTTGTTTAAGGCAGGGTTAGGCTTTAACACAACTTCCACAGACTTTCATATGTGGCTCAAGGAACTGTTCAATCAATCAGTCACCAAAAACTTGGGAGAGTATAGCACAATTCCTATTCTCTAAATCATCTGCTATACAAGTTGACAAAAAAAAATGTAAGGGCCTCTATAGATATCAGAGAGGCTGACACACACTACAACTACTTAAACTCTAAATATACTTGTTAAACGGCAGACTCTAAATCAAGTTTACAATTTGTGATTAATTTCTTTAGACAAATCTTTGACTGAGTGCTCTGAAACTGAGTGCACTTAACAAAACCGACAGCTGTAATTCCATAATTGTAGTCCAGGACATTGAACTTCACTAAATATTGTGCTTTGTGTAAACTTTTCAACTGAAGCAGAATTAAATATGTGACCAATCTACCTTATGTGTCTTCCTACTTCATGCAAATAGCTTAATTCTCCATTGCTATGTTTTCGGGTGCTACTGGCCTTCAATTAATGGGGCAGTGTGAAATCCGTGCTTTTCTTGCTGAATGATTTTTCAATTGTATGAGAGTAGGATGGGGTGAATTGGGATGTCCTTTTTTTAAATAAAGCACTTGGTGTTTGTGACCTGTTATAAATGAGTTGCAGTCAGTCATAGCAGCTGTAAGGAGACAACTGGGAGCAAGTAGGGGATGGAGGTGGGAGAAATTTACAGACTTGGTTGGAAAACATTTAATCTAGGCAGGATTGAAAAGTGACTGCGCCAAAGGTGCAATCATTTTTATAAGAAATAACAGAAATCATGAAATATTTGTGGTATTTACCACACACAGGGAAAACGCCATAATTTAGATATGATGATCTGGATAAATATTGCTCAGATGCCATCAGTGATCAGAATAATTAAATATCTGAATATCCAAGAAAAATGCAGAAAATAACTGAACAAAATTAGTTTTTTATCCGATGCTTAAGATTTAGGCCACATTTATTCTTTTCATGTGAAGAGTGAAATAATAAAGGGAAAGATAAGCCATACAACAAGCAGAAACAAAAAGAGGATGGAGAGAAAATATTTGAAAACTAAAGGTAATATTCTAAGTGTAGTTTTTATTTTGCACAAGCTAGAAATGTTTTTCAACTTTCACCCTGGAATTATAGCAGTTTAATCATTTCTTAAATGTGTCAAAATACTTCCTTTTTTTTTTAGAATGATTACAGTTTCTGTTTAAAAGATCTGATTAGTTCTCAGAAACTTGTTTCCGATGCTTTGATATGAATATTGATCAAGTTTTAAGTTTTATATAGAGTTTATATATTTTGAAGTAGCTGAATCTCCCTGCTTTGTGGAATTATTATTTGATATAATATTAATTATTTTAGCTCTCGAGAAACCCATATATTGGCAGCCTGTCATAGCACTTAATATCTATCAGGACATGTGTTTTGCAGTGATCTTTATAATAATATTAAAGTTTTGTATGAGGAATGTGTGTGGTACATAATACAAATTTAAATGTAAGAAACATGATGCTTGGATTTTCAGTTGTCTTTACAAAACATATTTTTAAAGTATCCCATGCTCTTTTGTCCTCCCCTTTGCTAATGCACCTTTAAATCAAATCCAGTGCATGAAATATAAAATCACATACTTAATAAATATGTGTATTTTAAATAAATATATTGTATTGCAGTATAAATACATCTCTATCTTAGAATGTCTCAGGGTTTGTTAGAGGACTGTTGTAATAAAAAAATATCATGAAACACCCAGGAACACACCAAATATTTCAGGGAAAATGTTTTGGAGAAATTTAAGCAGATTTCTGGTAAGAACACAACCTACATTTTGTGGAGTCTTGTGGAGCAAAAAAGCTATTTCTGTAGGGGTTTCCCTGTCTGACATTAATATCGGGTAACATTCTGATATCGGCTAAAAAACGAATATCACATTATATCAGCCGGCCTCTAAAATCTTTAAGTCTTTTACTTTAACATTAAGTAGCACTCAGGGCAATATGTATGCAGTTCATCTGCAAAGAATGTGTGACTTGGGGTGAGTTACTCATGAGTCCTTTTTCAGTGTCTCTTTTTGTTTTTGTTTTTTTTTTCTCTCTGGTATGTATTTTCCTTTACCAATTCACAAAAAATGCAGCACTTTTTGTTGATCCTTTCCTAAAAGTACTCAATACAATTAAGGTTTGTGATAATGTGACAGAATGTGAAATTTTGGAAAGAGTACCTTCTGTACATAAACTTGGAAAAGGTTTTGTTTAATCAAGTTGTAAAGTCTTTCAAAGGATCTATCAACTATTAGATCAGAGTCATATCACATAATTAGGAGAAGAAGCATCTGTCTTTATATTGACAAATTTTCTAACACTTATTGTGAAACTATTATTTCAATGAGGAAACCAAGATTGAAACGTAGCTACCAGCTGCATTAGTGCGACCATCATTCCTGCAAAGCAGCAGTCACCTTGCAGCAGAGCAGAAATAGCGCAGCTCTTTTTCCCTCAATGAGAAGGTACATAAAGCACAAGATGAGAGGACCAGGAAGGCAATTGACCTTGGCTGCTTTTGGGGGCTGGTATATAGCCATCCAGTTGGATGCCACAGTTCTGCTGCAAAAAAAGAGAACAAAGGGATTTGTATTACTCATAGTCAAGCTATAATTAATGGTGAAAATGTAATTTATTGTCAAGCTATTTCACTTGGTGATGACAAGTTGTTGTTTTTAACATTTTTTTTCTCTTTGACAAGGACAAATGTAAAAAAAAAAATCCTTATATTATGAGAGTGGGTGATGCTTAAATCAAAGGATGTGTTTGATGATATGAGACTATATCAAATAAGAGAAGAGCTGAGTAAGTGCATAGCAGGTCTAAAGTCAACCTTGCCATTTTGCTTTGCTGTGCTTTAGTGTTTACCTGTGACAGGGGTGCTTTATCTCAGCTAGTCACCAGAGCATGTGTAAACACACAGGGGGGAACACACTGCATATCATGCTGTTTTCAGTCTCCCCGCTTTTGTTCCAAAATCTCTCTCCCATAGAGAGACATTATCCCCCGACGGCAAGGTGAAAGGGGTGCTGATGTAAGGTTATTTGTAGCAGACGGAAAATGATGAAAAAAAAAAGAAAAAAATGACGAGAAAAAAAAAAAATAGATGGGTTTGAAAGTAAAAAAGAAAAAAAGTCACCTAATTATAGCCAAAGAGGGGCGGTCAGCCTGGAAGTTACACTGGAGAAGAGGAGTGCTCCGATGGAGAATGGGATATGGGTGAGTGTCTGGGGAGTCTTGGTTAAGGTAGTCGCCATCACAAGCCCTGAATGGGCAATTAATCAGAGGCGACCCATGGGGGAAGTTAAGGCTATGACAGTCCCACTTCATTCTCCTGGACACACATGTACCTGCTGGCTCATCCACTGTTGACACCTCTTCCTTTTGGCTCTCATTTTCTCACAATCTCATGTTATTTTTCTGTTCTCATTTCCTTTTTTGCCCCCCAGCTTCTTCTCCTTTCTGTTTCGTCTCATGTTAGTTTTCTATCCTACTCTACTTAGATCCACTTTTTACTGACTTTCCTCTCCTTAAATATCTATTTAGGTCTATGAATGTTTTGATTAGATTCAGTTGCGAGTGCCTTTTCTGACCTGACAACTGACTCCAAAGTCTTTCAGAGTCTGGAATTTTTTCAGGCTGTAAATGGAGGGAGACATCAGTAAGGAAGAATACTCTGAGAGGGTGAACTACTGGCTCTATTTTACCTTTCCCATTACCCTCTTCTTCACTGCCCTCATCCCTCCATCACTGCCAGCCCCTCTGTCCCCCTCATGGCTGGCGCTGAGTGATTGATGGATACAGGTTTGACATGGCTTGGTTCACCCGAGGGCGTTAGCAAGGACACTGGTGAGACTGAGACAGACGCTGGGGACATTTCAGCGAAGAAAGAAAAGCAACTGCACTCAACGCTGCTAAACATCACACCTAGCAACTCTATCAAGATCATCAATATTTTCTGTTGGGCTTGTTTGAGCCATTTTCTCATATTCTAAATGAGTAAAAATAAAACAAAATACGAAACTACGTTTTGAGAGTTTTTTCCACAATCGGTTTATAATTGAAGTCCTGAATTGGAGCCCTTAAAGAAATACATTTGAATGTTATAGGGTATTAATATCTCAAGTACAAAAGGTGTCTTCTTTTAGTATTAGTGTTATTCAGGTAACCCATAATGCTTTGCAATGATAATTAAATTCTAGACTGAAATTCTTAGATGTAACAAATGTTTCATACAGCAAATACCCATGCAACGTTTACACTCTAAACAGGATAACAAAATTATATCTGCACCCTAATCTTCACACATTACATCCTCAGGCTTGGGGATCCATCACATTGTCAGGAGAAATACTTGTGGCTGGCTACTCATGTTGCAAGACTAGAGCAATCCTCTGCACAACTGCAACATCATTGAGTTAGTCTTTGATATGCTTTGAATCTGCTGAGAGCCCATTAATTGCATATTTAACTTTTCCTAAAACATCATCTTCTGTGCTGATTTTTTCTTTTATTGGGATATTATTAGCCGATTAAATACTTTTTGTTCTAAATGGATACAACTACAGTTTGTTTTTTTGTTTTTGTTTGTAGAAACCTAAAATTGTACATGATCTGCTTACAACACAAATGTTGTTATTTTTACATGAAGCTGACTTTTGTTCTCTACCGTATAAGATTGAACAAGTTGACCTTACTAAAAAGAAATATTGAAAACCCTGCCACAATTTGAGTTGAGGATTCTCAGCTTTTTTTTAGGTTCTTTATCAATCATTTTCCTACTTTTTCATGTATTGGTATCCAACTAAACCTGATGCAAACTTCTTATTTTTACATTCTCTGTATTTCTCATTTACCTACAGTATTTTTGTTTCAGCCTCTGAGACTGCAAAGATTAAATTAAAAATAACAAAATGCCATGAGGACTATCCAATAGAATCTATATAACTGGTTAAAAGCTTTTAACATAATCTGTTTTTAAAAATCCAGAATATTTATTATTTTTATTTATTTTTTTGTAAATGGTAAAATATGTTCAGAATAACTATAAAACCATATTTGGCCACCGAGAGGCAAAATCTAATCCCAAATCTGTCTAAATTTAATCCGGGTTTTATGTGTCGTTATTTTGAATTAAGTGCCCCTCCTGGGGGGTCTCTCATCCTCCCAGAAAGCAAACACCCATTTGACATGGAGCCGGCAGAAAGGGAACAAGGCCCACAGTGTCTCTCCTGCTCCAAGGGCTTTGTCCTGTAGGAGGCTTCTGCCACGGCTCCAGGCTACCAAACCCACGTGACATGCCTGGAGATGAGGGTAAGCGTTTTCTGAATTGTGTTATGTAGAGAATATGTCAGGGAAATATTCCCAAAAGAAGATTCATGTTACTCCTTAAACTGGCCTGAAAGCCACTTACCAAAGTCTATAGCTTCAGAAATAGCCTACAGATTTCATATTTTCATATTTAATAAAGACTTGCTATTAGTGAAAATTTACCAGCCAGAACTTTATTTTGTAACATCTATCAAACTTAATATATTGTTTGTCACTTAAGTTGGATTTAATTACTAATTTCCTTTTTGTTTTGGTATTTTGATGTAAACCTTTATTTACATTAGATAAAATTTACACTCATACTTCTAGCTTCTACTCTACTTTGTCTTTAATGACATCACTTGACCATAAGGGAACAAATCAGAGTACTTTAAAATCATTTTATTCTTTTTTTTTTCAACCTCATGTTGAAGTGTTTAAAAAAATGAGCTGAACTTCTGGGTCTTTTACTCATACTTAAGTTATTAATATTTATATGTCAGACTGAAGGTTGGATCAAGTTTTTTTCTCATGCATTTTATGTGGTTACCAACCCAAATACAGGCAAAGCAGAAATAATCATTATTTTCTTCACTTCACTTAGAAGGTAGAGTTTGTAAAATCATGCAGTGAATTATTCAGAACCCAATTATATCAGTTGCCAGTTTAGATGTAATTGTGGAAATAAGTGGATCACCAGGAAAAAAAAAAAAAAAAGTTAGACATTTGAATATTGCAAAAAAAGTTTGGCAAATCCACTAGCTAGATTAGACCAATGAAACCCCATGATTTACATGATTAAAATTAGGACGAAATCAGCCATCTCTTTTGTAAACTAGCTATAAAAATAAAGGTACTTTAGCAGTGAAAGGCCTCTTGTTCTTCCTTGGCATTATTCTCCTAAGATATCAGATAAAAAATAAAAAAGAAGAGTTGAAGTACTGAAAACATGTGCGGTCTGCACCCTGTGTGTAAAAGCCTTCTGTTATGAAGTCAGATCTTGTAAATTGCATATGGTACTTTCACAGGAGCCCAATGGTAAATTTAGAAGACTGACACTTCAATCAGAATATCATAGCTGATTGAATCGAGTCAGAAAAATTACATAGGCAACATCTTTCACCCTTCTCAGTGAGAGTGAATCCATTTACGGTACCTATAAATAAGCGAATGTGGCTTTAAAGTTTTTTAAATGGTATTCAGGAGACAAAAAATGGGGAAACAGGAAACACTATCATGTGATGCAAGAACAATTGATTACAGAAGTATTTCAATATATGCTCATACAATGAATAATGAACATAAAATGGCAAAGGTAAGATATTATTTATGTCTTTCTGTTCATAAGTATCCTTATCTTTCCTCAATTCAAATTGCCTTATTTTGCATATATTAATCTTTAGTGTGCATTTTGATTTATTTTATGTTTGTGGAAGGGCTGCTGCCCCTAGCCTGTGTTAATACACCTTTCTACTGAACTTTTTTCAATATACTAGATAATATATTATACATATGTGATCAGTACAGACAGAAAAAATACTATACCTGGAATTCTTTACCTCTTTAAGGTGCTCCTTGATTTAAATGCAAAAATGTTTAAACAAGAATGAATATAAATTTTTTTGACTCAGGTTGAGTAGACAGTAGTTCTTGATTTAGTTTGCTTATTTCACTTAGTTTTTTCCATTTGTTAAGTAGATAATTCTACTCAGAAGTAACATTTCCACACTTGTACAAAACTAGACTGTCAGAAACATTCCAGGGAAAATTGGATTTATCCTTTTTGTGCTGCGAAATCTTCCAATCTCTGTCTGCATGTTGATGAGTACATTGTGTATATGTCACCTGGTGTTCTCAGAGATATAGGTGGCCGTCTGAGCAGTAAGCACAACAACAACAACAGGTGTCTTCTGCTCTCCATTTCACTGCCACCTACCACACTTCAAGCTTTTGCTCTTTGTCTTGTTTGGCAGCAATGCAAAGTCAATAGGATGAATAAAACATACCTGAATCAGAACCCTCTACCCAGGGAAATGTCAAGCTGTCAGTACAGCTTAATGGGAAACCATAGGACCTTTCCCAAGGGTCGGACAGTTTATTGTGTAGTCTCTACAAAAATGCAGCCAGGGAGGTTGGTTTCTTTGTGCACCTAAAATACGGCAACTCTTGACTCACTCGAACTCACTATGATGTCATGCTCCTACATGTATATACACTCCTTGCTGGAAAATCTAGACATCCAGTGCTCAGTGGGGCTTTTCCAAATAGGGACTTCTGTACACCAGTACTAATGCTCAGACCTTTAACTACTTTGCTTAAATGCATCATCTGAACTGCATATGGTGAGTTCATTTAATTCAGCTGGTCTCCTACTGAATAACTGCCATTTAACACCCCTTACTACACATATTACACAACACCCATCACAGCCTGCGGTGGTGGTAGCTAACCCCTGCAGCTAATTAGCTTTGAATTAGGTCTGAGGTCTAGGTTTAATTAGGCTTAGCCATGAGGAGGGTTGAAACTTAACAGCAACTCCAGCAGCATGAGCTGCCAAACCTCATCAGGCTAATGGACACTCAACCAACGAGGGCCCTCAGGGGCCTGACAGGCTACTCTGAGTTTCTCCCTGGTGCCGACCAGGACTTATACAAACACATGCAGAGGCTCACACACACACAAGTGCACTGCAATCTAAACTTTAGCCAGGTGGTCCAGACGCAAGAAAGTTGGAGTGTGACGAGTCGAGCATACTCTAGAGAAATCATACTTTTAAATGATATTATTTAAACTATTTAGCTAAAAGTTTCAGCAATCCTTATTAAAATGTACTATCAATAGAATCTATGTCCTCACTATAGAAACACTGTATTTGCTGTATGGGTATTTGCTGTATGTATTGTAACGTAAGAAAGAGCAAAGGAATCAAAACAGACAAACAAAAGAAAAACAGAGGACTCTGGCAAAAAGAAGACGTCTTCTACTCTGGTGTCTCTTTCCTACCTTTATTGTACTGCAATCTGTTTTTACTTTGCTGTTAGAATACAAAACAAGAGTAAACAGTGAGAAATGTTTGTGCTAACAGTGTTTACTATTCCTTACAATTAGAAGTGGTGGTTAAAGAGGATTTACTAAAACAATTTTTTAATAAGACTGTAGATACCTTACATATATTAACATAAATTCTGTGGAAAAAAGGTATTTTTTACTATGGTTTATTATCAATTGCCACAATTTATGAGAAAATATAAGTTTAGTTTCATTTCTTCCACAGCACTTTCTTACAACGGCTTTGTCACCCTAAAAGCAAAATGTTCATCTTTTTTCTTTCAGAATAACTTTGAAATGGATGCACTTTTTTGCTGTTGAGGGAGTTTTCCGGTCTTCCCAAGCATAAACACACTGCAGGGTAATGGTACACTATCTAAACAGTATTTTAGTCTGGACAATGAAAATACGCTTTAAAATCCTCTTGATAAATTTACCGTTACATATAAATTGATTGGATTGTTGTATACAATTGCAAAATATTTATAGTCATCTCAGAAAGTGGAACACATTCTAAGAGGAATAACTACAGATTAAGTCAAATTATTCCAAGCTTTTGTTGCTTAATGATATGTGTTTATGAAAGTGATTTCAGAAACATATGATGATCATAGCATGTATGCAATGTGGGATTTAGTTTTATTTTTTTTATGTGGACAATTGTGAAGACAGCATGCGGCAAAGAAAATATTAGACTCTACACACTAAAACTGTAGTTCCAGAAGAAATATAAGCGCAGAAGGGGTAACTACGTACATCAATATCCTTATCCGCAAAGCTCATCTAATATTCCGTGTCAAAGAGACAGACTTTGATTGATTGTTTTCCTGAAGTTAGGTGTATATGTCGAAAAACTTCAGCATAATAAATCATTTACATTGGAATCACTTGAATGATTTGATTTGAAGAGTGGAACAGAAATTGACTGGAGAGCACATACTAGTTAAAGCAGCATTCAAGCAGCACAGCCTCTCCATTCCTGCAGATTTATGCAATTTTGTGTAATTCTCTGTGTAGAAATTATACCACGTCAGACTCTATGGACTGTTACAGCCCAATGCATCAATACCTGAGCGCTGGATAGCAAAACGTATGCACTGTAAAATAATTAAAGATTTGGTCAGGTTTACAAGGCAACTTAAGTAAAAACAAAACAAAAAACTGCATGTTTATTTATTGAAACCTGGATCTAAACATTTACTTGCAGATGGCAGTTTGTCAAAATAAGGTTGTATAACTAAGAGCATTATAAAGATTAAAAGAAGCAAAAAGCCCTGTTCTCATTGCAAATACATGTACAGGGGATCTACAGCCCACCTAGTGGATAATTTCACTTATTGCTCTTTTAACTAATTAATAAACATGAATAATTAAAGTGATCATATTTAGATAATAAAAAATGATTAACATAATTATTGGTAAATCAGTTAAAGGATATTGGACAACCAACCTAAACTAATAATGTTACATAGCACAAGGGCCACTTTGGAAAATAAATAAATAAATAAATAAAGGTTTTTAATATTGACTTAAAGCAGTTATAATCTCTGCACTTTCCCTTTTTTTTTTCTTTTTTTTTTTTACAAGTGAAGCTTAACTAAAATCTGCTTTTCCATATTTGGTTCGCTTTTTTGGGTATGCAGGTGACTACAGCCAGAAGACCTGAGAGGTTGGACAATTGATACCCTGTTTTTGGCTGCTAAGCCATTCATTCTCTGAGATGCAATGGACCAGTATAAAGACTTACAAACTGAGAGGATGTGTCCCACTTTCTTCATTTTTTGTGGAGTTGCAGGCAACATCATTCTGGATCAATTTTTAGGCAGACATGTGAAAACACCACTGCAGTAATCTATTCTATTTTAGATAAACACATGAATGCTTTTTTCTAGATTCTACTGAGACGTTAGTCTTTTAATATTTGAGATGTTCACAAAGTGACAGAAAGTCAACCT